AAGTCCGATGTTTTCTGCGGTGTTTTTAATACGTGGGAAAGCTTCAACTGCTTTATTTCGGGTTCTACCAATGATCACGATATCATCAGCATATGCCATTATTTGTAAACTACTTCTGTATATCCTGCTTGTTAAGTTTGTTCCCGAATATCTCAAAACTTTTTCTAAAGCTAAGTTAAACAGCGTGCATCATAGCGCATCTCTCTGACGCAGTTCTGTGTTAGTTGTAAATGGATCTGAAAGGTCCTCTTGTACTGGCACTGTACATTCAACTTTTCTCATTGTCATTTTAATTAATTCTACCAATCCTTTGGGTATTCCAAATTCGAGAATAGCTGAATATAATTGGAGTCTGTCAACAGTATCGTTCGCTGTCCTAATATCTACGAAGATATAATGGCAGCCATGTCGTACTCCGTCGTTTTTTCTAATATTTGTCTATGGGGATCAATAGTAGATCTGTTTTTCAAAAAGCCTCCTTGGTATGATCCTATTAGATTGTCAGTCTCTGTATCAGATCTTCTCAAGACATCCAGAGAGGTATAACCTTCTACACCTCATAATACAGGGTAAGATCGCCGGAAGGAGAGGCCCAGGCCGACGATGAACATCCTGGCTCCGAAATCTCCGAGAATGGTATCAAGAAACCACCGCTAATTTATTTAGAGCCGCCGTAAATAAAGTTATTATTGCCAATATGATCGCCAACGTTTGATAATCGGACAGGGTACTGAAAGAAGAAGAAGATTGTCAGTATACTGTGCCAATCGTTCATTAAGTATCAGTGACAAAATTGTGTATGCCGTATTAACAAGGGAAATCCCTCTAAAGTTGGAACAGTCAAGCATGTTTTTTTTATGTATAGGGCATATAATTCCAGTATTCCAATCTTCTGGTAAAGACCATTCTTGCCATACCTGTATTAATAAATTAATTACTATTTAACTGGGAATAAGCCACAATTAAAGATAAAAATACGTTTATTGACGTTTCAATTTCCACTTCGGAAATCGTTCTCAAAATACAAACAGTAAATTAAACAAATTTTGTTTTTTGTTACATAGTGAAAAATTCTTCTAATTTAATTTTATCTGACTCATTTATATTGACAATTCAGACATACATTATGCATTTTAAAGTAGACGACTTTAAAATGGTATTGCCAATATTGTTGAGTTGTGCTCCTGGGACGACTTTACTTATAAGATAGTTTATTCGATTACATGAAATCAACTTTAACTTGAGAATATCCGTCAGAAAAAAATCATAGCATGTAATTCGTCTTTAAAAAGACAAACACATGACATGATGACAGTAAAATTCCCCTGTTAGTGATTCCATAGTAAATTATGAGGGAAAACCAGGAAAAAAAACCTCATAATACTATCCCGACATTTTAAGTATTAATTTGTTCGTGAATTTAGTTTACCTTCAACAAACATCAAAATTCTTATTTTATATGGTACGTTATTTAAAAAACATAAATGATGTATCCTCTATATGTTACTGACTTACTAATACTGGTATTTTCTTATTAATAACTTCCTCTTTCAATATTGGTAACCAGATCCTACTACATTCTGTCGAGGAATTTGAGACACATACGGCAGAATGTAGTAGGATCTGGTTACCAATATTGAAAGAGGAAGTTATTAATAAGAAAATACCAGTATTAGTAAGTCAGTAACATATAGAGGATACATCATTTATGTTTTTTAAATAACGTAACATATAAAATCAGAATTTTGATGTTTGTTGAAGGTAAACCAAATTCACGAATAAATACTTACAATATCGGGATAGTATTATGAGGTTTTTTTCCTGGTTTTTCCCTCATAATTTTACTGTGGAATCACTAACAGGAGAATTTTACTGTTATCATGTCATGTGTTTGTCTTTTTAAAGACGAATTACATGCTATGATTTTTTTCTGACGGATATTCTCAAGTTAAAGTTGATTTCATGTAATCGAATGAACTATCTTATAAGTAAAGTCGTCCCAGGAGCGCAACTCAACATTATTGATAATATCATTTTAAAGTCGTCTACTTTAAAATGCATAATGTATGTCTAAATTGTCAATATAAATGAGTCAGATAAAATTATAGTTTATTTTTATGAACGAGAGAGTAATTAGCATAATTTTAACTGGTACCTCCGATCACTCCATGGGCGTGCTCAAGATTAATTGAAAAATTACTTTGAATAATTGTAAAAAATAAATGAATTATTTCAGTGTTATAAAGTGTTATGTGTATGTAAACAAAAGTGACCTCTTTTATCACACACTATATTAGAACTGACTGGCCTACATTAAAAAGGGTTTTAAAAAATTCACATTTTTTTTTATTTTTAAAAATTACAAAAGAGAAAAAGAGTTTTTAAAACCGTCTAAGGTATGTTAAATAGATGAATAAAAATATTAATATAAAACTTACAGCTACTTGTTACAAATCCAAATCAGATTCAGAAGATGAACTTTCAGAACCAAGATTTATAATAACTGGCTCGATCATTTTATCAGTAATATTGTCCAGCTTCCACATTTTTTTTTCTTCTTTAATAGTGTGATTTACTGCCTTTTCCCAGTTTTCAGGTTTTACATTATTTACGGCCTCAAAAAACAACTGTTTAACATCATGAATTTTAAAAGTGGTGTTTTTTCTTGAAACTTCACTCTTTATCTGTGCCCATACCAGTTTAATCGGGTTTAATTCACAATGATATGGTGGGGATCTAAGTACTCTCATTCCACGATTTTTGGCAATTTCATCAATTTCGTATTTTTTAAATTTTTCTTTATGAAGGGCACACAACGAATAAAGTTCCTTTCTTATAGATCCGGGATGGTACGTAATATTTTTTGAACTCAGCCAATTCTGCAAGTCTTTTTTTAACCACTTGGTTGTGGGCAGTCCTTCTATAAGTCTGGAGTGATAACTTGCAGTATCCATTACTATTACACAGTTCTTAGGAAGAAGATCTATCATTTGTTCGAACCATTCTTGAAAGACATCAGCGTTCATGTCTTCATGGTACTCACCGGTACGAGTTGATTCAAAAGTTAATAAACCACCTTCAACAAAACCGTCTGAACTGCCAATGTGTACTATTATCAGCCTGCGTCCCTTTCCTGATGGTGGGTTTAAACCAGTAGATAAGTTATTTACAAAAGCGTGCCTTTGACTTGTAACAGTTTCATCCTGCCAAAATTTATTTGGTGTATGACCCTCGTTGATCCATGTTTCATCAAGATAAAATATTTTTCCTTTTTGGTTTCTCATTTCCTTTATGGTTCTTAGAAAATGTCTTCTCCATATGACAATATCGCTTCTTTCTAATAAAATAGACTTTCTGGGATTCTTTTTCCAGCGGAAGCCTATTTCTTTTAAAAGTTTCCATAACGTACTTCGACTCATTTCTGGGTAATCCTTATCATCTCGAACTGAGACAAGAACTTTATCCAATGTTGGAAATTCTTGTCTAAAGAAGAATTCATGCACTTTCCGTCGAAGTCCTTCTTTAAAATGATATTCTATTTGAAATTTTGGTTTCCCTGGAGCATTACGTGGCATTTGAAAACTACCATATTTCTCTTCTTTAATAACCGTAGATCGTAGATCGGAAATCGTAGTTTTCCCAACACCAAGTGTACTGCTAACTAACTCAACGGTCTCATCAACACTTTCACATAAACGTTTGTCTGTAAATGATTTAAAACAATTAAATATTAATGTTTTTTCATTAACTGTTAAAGGACCAATTTTTCGGCGTTTACACGGCACTTCCAAATTTTCCATAACACTAGTATACACAATAAACTGCACCTTGCAACTGAAGTACCTACTTTTAGTGAACTGTTAAGAATTTTGAATACGCCACTTGGACCTTCCTACAAAATGGAAAAACCCACTATCACATTTTCTGTGGAATAAGTTTAGAAGGTAATTATCTAGTCAATTACTGTCGTAGATTCCTGGAATTAAAGAATTAAATGTTTGATTGTTGAAACCCTTACTTCGTGGAATGCACTCATTTCAGATAAAATAAAACGTTTTATTTTATCTAAAGAATTAAACTTTATTTTGCAAATAGGTAGGTACTTATTAAACTTTTATTGGTTATATATAACCAATAAAATAAACATCTTACATTTCTTGCAAATTCATTAGTACCTGTTAAGCTCCATCACTCCGACACTGGCAACCTTATTTAGGGATTAGTAACCCTCACAACTATTGTATTCTATTCTGCTCCAACCTTTATACCTGGTGGTCATACTCAATTTAAAATTGTTTTCCTATATACTTCTGTAAACTTGTTGACAAATATCTGTTTTTCATTGAGTCACCCGTATCAACAGTTTAGGGATTTGCATACATAATTTATTGGTTTATTACTCTCTCATACATAAAAATACACTATAAATTATTAGAAGAACTTTTCACTATGTAACAAAAAACAAAATTTATTTAATTTAATAATGTTTGTATTTTGAGAACCATTTTCGGAGGGGAAATTGAAACGTCAATAAACGTATTTTTATCTTTAATTGTGGCTTATTCCCGGTTAAATAGTAATTAATTTACAATGCCACAAGAAAATAGCTTCAGAACAATACCTGTATTAATAGTTTGCAAAGAGTACGCATGTTTCTGGCTAGAGACTAAATTGCTTTATTAATTTCTTCCAAAGTTGGTAAAGTTGGTAGCTCATTTTCCTTCATACATTGGGCCGCAATGAAATGAATCAGCGGATCGCGTAGTCCAACAAGCAAGAACTAGTGAAACCGCGAGTAAATCTACATATATCTGTGTTTAAATGGCGTGCAAGAAAATCTACTATTTCAAATGGTACACCACCAGGACAATTTAGAAGTATAGTTGACTCGTCTGAATTATTTATCGATTACTTTTTTCTCTCCTAAACACCACCAAAGACTGAAGAAAGACATTTTAACACATTTTAATATAAGTTACATATTCCTTTCCGATTTTCAGATTGCGGGTTTTAACGAATTAGACGAAGCAGTGAAACGATTAGATTTTAGAAGCGCCGTTAGGGATGTCCGTAGATTTAATTATATCTGTGCTCTATTGGAATTACTAATTGGCCAGCAGATGACAGCTCTCTCTGGGTGTTCTCAAAAAGTCCTACTTGCTATGTTGGAGGAGGTTGCTAGTCACGCCACTAGCAGCCAGCATAATCCTAGAGGTTTTAGACAATTGCTCACCAATCTAAGAGCTTTGAGGACTGCCGAACGGGATGCCTGTTGGGGAGGTAAGTTATTCACGGTTTATTAACACAGTAACACCAATATACGTAATACAACCGACTCTCTATTACTCATCGGGGCCAGAGTTTGTTCAACTTATCGAAAGTTCTAGTTATATGATACAGTCACGTATGATTTTTTATGTTAGTTGTATGGGATGGCTCTTTTTGCAAAATCTGAGGCCTATTTTTTATCCCTTGTCAGGTTTGCTTGTTTCTCTAGTCTGGTAGAAATTTATCGATTGGTTTTCTCCCTCTTTCTCCCTGTCTTCCTCTCTCTCGTTAAAAATTGTTCTTCATAATCAAAATTCTTGTTCCTAACTCTTTTTCCAGTCTTTCCATCTTCTCGTCGATTTTTCTCCACCTCTCTTTCCTTGAACTTCTAACAGCTTTATACTTCGTCCCACATATATTTCATTTCTTCGTCTGACATGACCAAACCATTGTAGTCTCTGTTCTTGAACCGTTGTTGACACTGTAGTCACTCCGGCGCTTTTTCCGGAATTACATCGCTCCTGATCTTGTCCCTTCTAGTCTTATAATTGCGTCATTAGGACCATATCTTATATACTAAAAGGCTAAGCCCTTTTCTTGTGCGCAATACTCTTCCTAAACGGTGATAGATAGGAGAATATTTTTTTCGAATAATTAAACAGATTGTTGAGTAGATTCCCCCTAAGGTTTCAAATTTAAAAAAATTGAACCGGTTTAAAAATGGCGGCCATAAATTGATTTTTTCCTATAGTAAAGTATAGGAATTTTACAGGTTTCATTCTTCAAAATTTACAGTCCTAATTTTGAATGTATTTTTAAAATATGCCCGCGTCTACTTTTTTCTTATACTTACTGATTGGATTCAGAATTATGAAACCCAGCTGTAAGATATCCCAGCCTAACCTAACCTAACCTAAACTAAACTAACCAAATTGCAAACAAAAAAACCAACTTCGAATTTCAAGTACAAAATATTTATTAATTCATTTAAGTTCAAAAATTAAAGTCAATCAAAGTTAGTTCAATACAACCACAATCAATAACATGAGATTAAGAAAATCACCAAATATCACGGAATATTTCGTCAAATACGACGTTTTTAGTCCAGATGGATCAATCTTCGTCGAATTTTTGCTTGGAATTCGGGGTGATGTAAACTTTGACGTCATCAAATGATCGAGATCGAGACATTGCAACGTATCGACGATCGACTTTGATGGTGGAAGGGAGTTTAATATTTTCTCCATAAATTCCATCGCCAACGGAAAGGTTTATTTTTAGGACTTTTGGATCATTTACACCAGGCGACGGAAACGATGGATCGTTAGACTCCGCCCCTCTTAAATATCAGCAAAACTTACATCAAAACTCGATATCGAGTTGGTCCGCTAGTACGTTTGTAAAAGGAAAGATGAGAAGAAAATTTGACGACCTCGGAATATAAGGTGAATCTTTTATAGAGACGGCAGAACTAAAATCTCTGTTTGAGGCTCGCTGATGTCTTCTGAATACACATATTTTTTAATAGTGCCTTATTTGCCTTTGTTATCATTTACTGCATATCAATTTTACGTAAAAAAGCCAAATCTTATATATAGCAAATCTGATTAAATAATCTTTTACGGTAACCTGATAATAGACTGTAATTGTAGATCCGAAACCCTTCGTTGAAGGTAAAATAAAACAAATCTTTTTCTGTTTTTTTGTGTACCTTTTGAACATGGACTTTTTTGTTTTTATTTGTAAAATCTAAATGATAGATTGTTACTTTAGTGTATTAACATATACTTTAGGAACCTTGGGATCCCAATTGCTGTGGCACCAGCACGCTACCAAAATAGAAAGGATATTAAATATGGCAGCCGAAATGCAAATCCGAGAGCCTAATCCAAATAGCCAGCCTAAATTAATGCAACTACCAGAAGAGTGCATTAGAGAAATTATTTTAAGGTAAAATCAAAACTTCTGGTTAATTACCTGCATTTCACCCTATTTTACTTTTTTTGTCGATTATTCGGTAAATTATTTGCGTTTGTTATTATACTGTAATTCTTTAATATTTCCAATAATATTTCACTGCTTTATCTTTTTAGTTTTGCATATAGCCATAAAAACAAAAAGTATATAGTCTTAAAGTACTTTATTGTTTTTCAAAATATGCCCCACCAAGATCGCTACAGTTTTTCATACGTTTAATGTTCAAACCAATTGGTAAAACAGTTATTCCCGTCTTCATTTGACACCTGCAAAATCGCTGTTTTAAAAGCATCGATGGCTCCTTTTGGCGACTGGAATCACTGCCCACGTATTGAATTCTTGATATTTGGGAACTTGAAGAAATCGCTGGGACTTAGGTCGGGGCTATACGGTGGATGGTTTAACAATTCGATGTTTTGACGCTCCAAAAACTTTATTGTCTTTTGGACAATATGAACACTTACAACTTCTGGTAAACAAACGGTTATATACTAATCAGAAGTAACCGTTCTTGGATCTTCTAAAGCAATTGTTGCCACATGACCAGATTTTGACAAAAAAGTTGCGACCATTTTATTTGACAGACTTCGAGAACGGATCACTTTTGTTGGTTTTTCCTCATAGTAAAAGACCCATACAGCTGGTGGCGTTTATTTTCCGGTTCGTATTAGTAAACTTTTGCTTAACCCATTAACGCCTATGGGCACCATATAGACCCAACAGATTGCGTATGCAATCAAAGTCTATTTACCATATTATCAGGTAAATTTCGCTGAGAGGTTGGGGCTACTTTTAGTTCAAGCCTCTTCTTAAGTGAACAACTGAAATTTAGTTTTATCCCTATTTTCACGAGTAGTAACGTTTTGAATTTACTGCTGTTTTTTTTGTGCCAAAATATGGACATTCGTTTCGTGTAAGTGTTTTATTTATTACTTTTTACACTGGAATCCCCGTTTTTGTTTTAAAAAATTTTCTAGAAACTTCAATAAATATATTGTGCACGTTTTCATAATATTTCATCTTTTGGCTTTTTGGTAATTACGCCAAAAATATGTGTTCCCAAATGGAACCGCTAGGCGATTGGCTCGATATGTCGTTTTCACTATTTTTTTTTATATATTTTTCTTATTTTTATAGGAATTACTTTGAAAGTAGCTCTCGATATAGCTTACGAGGAAAACGAAAGTAATAACGATGTTTCTGCCGTTTAAATAGAACCTAGTAACGTTGTGGTAGACGAAGATTCAGTCGATGAAGATGACGCAGGTTTTATTGATAATCTAAATCGTACCCAGCTATCTTCAGGCGCGGAAATTTTGTTTTAAGACGATACTAGAATCAGAGGCATTACCGAAGACACGATCGTAGTAGAAACCACGTTAGATCCACCCAGTACTAGCAGATATTTTCCATCTCCGCCAACTTCAACTGATGGAGGTTTAACTATGTTTACGCGGCCGCAAAATGCAGATTTTTGTGAAGAAGAGGATTTGGTTTTAACAGTGTAGGATTTTCTAGAATCTGATTACTCAAAGTACGCTGGTTCAAGTCCTACAAAACTTTTTGAATTATTTTTTACTGAGGAATTATTGAAGGAACTGGTGGCAAAGAAGACAAATTACCCAATGTTTAAAAACTGTCCCTCTCCAAAAGTGTCCATAGAAGAACTCAAATTCTTCTTAAGTATTCTAATTTTGACTGGTTACAACAGCTTGCCTTCAAAAAGAAGCTATTGGGAGAGTGGTAAAGATCTTCGGAAAGAGATGGTAGCAGAATCAATGCGACGCGACCGTTTTTTACAAATTTGTCGCTTTATACATTTTTCAGACAACAATTCAATCGATTTAGAAGACTAAATGTTTAAGCTTAGATTTTTAACAGATTACTTGAAATCAAAATTCATAGAACATTTTGTTCCTGAGAATAATCTTTGCTACGATGAATCAATGATCCGATATTATGGAAGACACGGCTGTCAGTACTTTACACGCGGAAATGCCATTAGGTTCGGATACAAAGTGTGGGCCCTCAACACCCCATGTGGCCATTAAATAACCTTTGAAATTTATTAAGAACGAAATCCTCGTGCAAACACGGCATATGAAGCAATTTTCGGTAAAGCCGCCGCATCTCTTGTGCAAATAATCAAAGAACTAGGGGAAAACGGAAGTATCGATACAATTTTTATTTTGATAATGTATTTACTGGAGCAAATAAAATCTATTGTACACATTGAAAAATAATGGATATAGTGCAACAGGAACCATCAGACACAATCGGTTACCAAAATGGTGTAACCTCGAAGACAAAAAAAAATTAGTACAATGGCTCGGGGCGCTATCTATTGTGAATAATATATGTCCGATGGATGAACAACAGTGTTGTAACATAAGCAATCACTTGTTTTGGCATGTCACCAACTAGACCTGTTGAAAGCTTTCCAAACATTGTGGTTCTGAGGCCAAATATTGTTTCACAATACAATAACAATATGAGTGGCACTGATTTGATGGAGTATATTCTCCATGCATGGAATGTATCTTGCTATCGAATTTTAATTCGTTCCAAAAAATTGTATTGGCCTTTTTTACATACCTAATGGACGTGAGCGTTCAAAATGGATGGACGTTGTATAGAAAATCTGGTCGTAATGTTAACTAATTGGAATTTACACGGGTTATTGTTCAAACGTATCTGATAAGATATAAAAACCCACCAAAAACACCAAAAAGAGTGTCCGCAGATGCAGGAAGTGACTCTCGAATTAAGACATTAGGTACGACGGATTAAATTATTTTGTGGTTTCTGTACCAGAAAACAAAAGAAGTAGATGTGTAAGGATTACGTGTTTAAGTCGGGGGAGAACAATGTGCTGCAAATGTGATGTAGGCTTTTGTATTGTCTGTTTTCGCAATTTTCATACAAAGTAACTCTTAACTATCATCTATCAGGTTCGCGCCTAGTGGTTCCATATGGGAACAGATTTTTTCTCAGTTAATATTTTATTTACAAACAATTTTTTTCTTAATTTTTGTACAGAATACTGTTATATTTAACAATTTTTAATAAATATTGTCGATAACATTTTTTTTCTCGGTGATAATGGGTTAAAAGTTACTTTTTACTCTTCTCTGTGCAAATGAGGGATACAATGGGAAGCCAACTTTATAATGCCCAGTTGTTCCTGTAGGATCTTTTAAGTCGAGGTCTTTAAAATGCCCAAAGATGCATCTATTTCCCGGTATATTACACGGTGGTCATCCTTAATTAGCTGACGAACCGCATCAATGTTTTGCTGTGTGACTGCTGTTTTGGGTAGACCTGGTCTGGATTCGTCGCTGAGACTGAAACGACCACGTTGAAATTCGCAATAATAGTTAAATAGTTGAATGGTGTGATGCTTCATTCCAAAACATTTTAGAAACCAATTTATTGTATCTACACGACTTGTTGTATCGCAATGAAAGTCTTGATTTATGTCAATAAAAGATTAAGATTACATTTGTGTGGGAAGGTTTTATTGGTTGCGCCGTCTAAGAGGCTATATGCAAAACTAAAAGACAAACCTTGTACATGCTTTAGTTAAGTTCTCAAAGACTTAGTTTTGTCCTGCCCAATTATACTGTTAGTGCTTCTCAGTATCTAAACTGTCTTGGTGCCCTTCGACATAATTATTTATCATTGTTATCAATTAAGTCTAAATGTTTTTGTTTAATTTTAAGGTTATCTGACCATAAGGATTTAGTAGCCAGCGCTGAGTCGTGTGAACAGATGGCAGCTATTGTAAGCGAACAAAGAATTTGGAGAGAGCTTACCAAATTTCATTTTGTCCCTCAGCAAATAGATCTGGTCTTATCGAAAGACAATAGCAAAATTGACTGGAAAGAAGTCTACCATTCGCTGAAAAAGTAAGTAGTTTTTTAAAATCAATTCTTTCGATTAATTAATAATCAATTTACATTAATTTTTCGGTCAAATATTCTTTATGTCGATTTGTAGATCCATTTTAGGGTGTAGGAGATGCAAAGGCACAATTTCTATCGACAAAATTTGAGCATACAAGAACATAAATGGCAACATAGAGACATTCATCTGAGAACAGTGAACATCTAATCTACCACATTCTTGTAACAAAAAAATTAATGCAGAAAATACTAGACCCATACAATCCTTACATCTTACAGGGCGGCAAACGCTTATACAAACCACAGAAAAAAGAAGCTAAGACAAAATCTAACTGATAAGAGGGTATTTAAAGATTCTTCCTAAATGACATTTGTCAACAACTCGCCAGAATAAAATAGAGAAAAGAAACAATTGCAATGCAATAAATAAAAAAAAAGAAAAATGATTAAACGGAGAGCTAGATTTAAAAAGACAGAAGAAATATAAAATAAAATGATTCTACAAAAAATTCTAAGCAATCAAAGAGCCAAAAAGAAGAAACCGAATTTCAAGATAAATAGGTCAAGAGAATGTGGGAATAATTTTATTATAACATTCCGTACACATAGAGAGCAAGCGTACTATGACAAAGTAGTAATATCACCTATTTGTGATACTCAGAATACCTACTATTTTTATACAGTCCTGGCTTTAGCAATAATCCCCAGGCGTAGCCAGGCTTTGATGATGATGATCAATTCATTTCAAGTTTTATTCGACTTGATAAGTGTTTAAAACCTTCATTAATAAACTTTTAACTCAAATTAATGTTTTAAGAAGGTGGTATTCACCCTGTCGACATCTGTTATATATACTTAGTGACATTAGAAGTGTTACACCCAGAAGGAATAATTTCTTCGGAGCACACTAGTTCGCTCCCAAGGTCAAAAAACCCTCTTAATTACATTCTAGTTCGCTTCGAAAACCATAACCTAGTTCGCTCCCGTGGTCAAACGGATGAAGTATTTATCTATTAAGTTTTAGGTAAATTAATACCAGGAAAATAGGTACTGCGGCTTTTGTATTTTATATTAGAAATTATATCAAATATTGGTAGTTACATATTTATATAAATACAGTGGTAAGCGCGCTAATAACCGGCAAAATAACGCAAACGATGGAAAACATCTGAAGATGTAAGATAAAAGAGATGAGACTAGTAGAGATGAGAAATTTCGCGATAGAAACCTATAAATTTACATTGTATTATTGTATTCACTGTTTCCCACCTTTAGACGTATCAGAGGAGGATGCCAACTAAAACTGTCACTGTCATAGCGGTAGTTTCCAAATTCTTACGTCTAAAGGTGGGAAACAATAAATGAAATATAAATTTGTAGGTTCTATCGCTAAATTTCCCATCTCCACTAGTTTCTATTTATCTCACAACTTTAATATGTTTTCCAACTTTTGCGTTATTTTGCCGGTTATTAGCGCGCTCATTACTGTTATGTATTTTGAAAAATGTTAGTGATTGACTTAGAAACTATATTAAAAATTTTGAACTGTTTTTAAAAACTACTGAAATAATTTTTGTGCATATTCTAAAATATAGGTATAATAAGAAAGCAATACAAGTATAAAAACTAACATAATATGGGATATTCTCTACCATTACAAAATTAAACAAATATAAATTAAAACGAGGAATTTATTTCGCTACAAATCTAAATGAAATACATTTGACAAAATCAAATCTACTAATTTTATTTTGCTTTAATTCCGCTATATTGTGATCAACAAATTTTTGACCCTCTAGAAGTACTTTTCGGTACACTTTTTTTGGTTTCACAGAACTTCGTATTTTTATATGTGTCAATTTGAAGATCTTTTAAAACTTCTAAAAATTGAAATATATTAGGGTGCGGATTGTAAAATAATGAACTAAATTTAGAATGGAAACTTTCACAGGCATTGGTTGTACGCTCAAGTAATGAACTGTTTTCCGCTCACATCTCAGGAGGGAAGATTGCCTCTTCAGAAATATAGTTGACCACCAAGTAGTCAGCAAATTGTTGTACGGCTTGGTGTTGTACTGGTAATATTTCACCAATGTCTATAGCAAAACACTCACCTACTTCTAATGGATCTAGGAAAGGTAGACCAAACATATATCTAAGGTATTGTCCGACTTCATTGTCGTTTGAATACTCAGTAGCCAGACCAACTTTTTGAATTTTTCTCCACCATGATTGTCCGAGATGAAACCCACATCCTTTTATTTTCGCAGATGGACACATTTCACTTACAGCTGCATGGATCGCTTTTTCGAAATCTGCATACACAACCTTGGGACTAAAATTTAAGTTTAATTTTTGAAACTCCCTCTTTAAACAATTTAAGGCAGTCACATATGAGTTTGTTAACTTATTTGAAAGCAAAAAGAATGCCAACGGCACATAGTGTCCATTTTCGAGTCCGTGAACTGTAAATAGTTGAATAAAAAATTTAGTGCAGTATTTTAAAGTTTCATCAACATAAATTGTTTCTAATTTACTTAAAAATGTTAAGTTAGATACACAAGAAAAAGCAACAAATTTTTTTACCATTTTATTCATTTTTCAATAAAAATTGTTCTTTTTGATTGTTTGTCTCTTCCACGGAGTTTAACGAGTCATGTACTTCCTGTGCACACTTCGCAATTTGGGGAATAACTTGTTTTCTGCCATTATAAATATTTTTTCTAATCAAATGTACATCTTCCACAGTAAGACTTTTAGTGCCTGTTTGTTTAATTTCGCTGTGTATCAACTTCAATGGTTTTTTACACAAATCATCTATTGCCTTCCGCTTAACACTATTACTTAATTTTTGCCGGTTTAACACTGTTTTTGATAAACTTTCATAGGTATGGTTATGATTACATTCGACTACACTGTTACAAATATTTAAAGTTTTAACAAATGCTTTGCAACTTCTTTCTACACACTGCCAACGTTTGATATTATTAGCAAGCATTTTATAGAAGCTATACTTGTAATTGTCAATAACTAACATCGACTTGCCTTTTTCACTTAACATTTCACTTCAGATTTCTCCATCATGAACTAGGTATAACGACATTCAAACTGGAACTAAAGTAATAATGTTAAGATTCGCACCACCCCTATTTCTTGTCAGAAAATTTCAGGTAGACTACTAATTATGTACCTACCAATCTTTTCAAAGAAATATATCGATTGTAACTTCTGATACGGAAAAACCCAATTAAATATTGAACAAGGGAATATGAGCTCTAACATCATAATACTTTAGTGGTATTATCGTTATAATTCTAATATTTTTTTAAGTAAGAAGTAGTGTTATTTAGTAGCATTGTTTAAAAATATTCATTCTTTTTTAAACAATGATGGTGGTGTTGTTTTAATAGGTAAATACAAAGTTTGAGAAGACATTCAAATATCTTTTCTAAGAAATATATGGCCGGAGCGAATTTACCTATGCCCATTTTCTGTGGGGTATTAAAATCTGACCGCGGGAGCGAACTAGTATACACCTAATTTCTTGAACTTAATTTTTTGGCAACATGGTATACTTACATCAAGAATGAAACGATAACGTTGTCAATAATTTTTATTAACAAGTAATCAAAAAAAAAAAAATTATAAATGTGTTTGGCGACCTCGTAGCTGAATACACTCCTGTATACGTCTAGGCATTAACAAAATGAGATAATTGATATCTGCTTGCGGTACCTCGTTCCAAGCAACTTGAATTGTCTCGAATAAACACAACTATTGATCGGCTACCATAGGCAATAGCCCCCTAAACCATTACTCCAACTGTCCTGTGTATATTCCTCTCACCAGCAAACCCGATATCTCGTCGCTCTCCACGGCAGCGTCCTACCATCCTACGATTATCATGCATTCCTAAACAGAATCGTGATTCATCGCTAAATGATAAATTACGCCATTCTGCCACCCAATGCTGCCGTTCTATGCACCAATTCAAACGTTGATGACAGTGGTCCGCAGTCAAAGGAAGCACTAGTCGTGGGCGGAATGAAACCAGTCCAAAGGCTCGAATGCGATGGTGTAGTGTACGCATACTAACAGGTCTACCTACTACTCCAAACCATTGGTCAGCAACTTGACGCGTAGTAGCAAAATGGTCTCGCAGAGCCAGTAATCTAAAGCGCCTATCTTGACGCTCTGTGGTACACCTCCGTTGACCAGTTAGTCTTCTTCGTGTTCTTCTACCTTCCTTTGTCCACACACGACATACACGCATAACTGTCATTGCCATACAATTAACACGACGGCCAATTTCGCGATACGACAAACCCATAGCTCTATACGCAATAATTCTGCCCCTGTCAAAATCGCTTACATGGTGGTAATTTTTATTCGTTGAACTCGAAGCATTTTCTTACACTGAATACAATTAGACTGAGGAATAATTAAAAATTGTTATACAAACCAGTTTCACAAATCGGTATCTTCACAAAAAAAATTTAAATATAGTCATCCTGTTGCCAAAAAATTAAGTTCAAGAATCTATTCCTTCTAGGTGTAACACTTCTCATGTCACTGAGTATATGTAACATCTAGAGAAACTGAATTTTATTGTAGTTCAGTTGACAATTATATAATAGGATTTGGGAAAGAAGCGGAGAAAAAAATTATAGAAAGCTTGAACCCATAATTATTTAAATATCTTTATTCACAAATACTGTTTACAATAATTGTTCATTTTACTTTCTGTTATAGGACCTTCGGAATCAACGAAGAGCGCCAATACGCCGAAATGCTCTCCTTGTGTAGATACTGCCGCTGTCTATTTTGGAGATCTTTGGGTCATCCCTGTATCGCCGATCAATGTCCGGAATTCCGAGCTCGTATCCAGGAAGCGGGCGGCGTCAGTGCTCCTTCCCCTGTCCCCCCATCGGCGTTTCTTAAATTTTTTTCCCTGTAGAGTTGCCTTTCCCTTCCCCCTCTTACCGACCGATTCGTTTGGACATTCTCTGAAATTCACGAACCGCTGCTAATAATTATTAATGTGCATCGATTATTGCATTTAACAAAAATACTGTTTTGTTTTTAGGGGTTTATACGTATATATCTAAACTCGTGACAAATATAAATCAAATCTTCGAAATGTGAATTTAGGACATTGAATATGTTGTTCAGAATTTGGTGATATTCTGAGGTTCAGTAGCACTTTCAATCTCTTTGAATGGGAAAATTAGTAGTATACGATCATGTTCTGAAGATTACACCCCGGAGAGAATCGAATGCTCGAACTCGCCAAATCTGCCGTTGTACAAACCAAAATCAGAGTAAACAACGGTTTAAAGATCTTATCTGTATTGTACTCGTATTACAATGATTTGATTTGAAATTTCGAGAAATGACTTGAAATCATTGTTTTTTCAACCCCCATAAACTCATACGATCAAAACGTATTTTTGAAATATAATTTTTTATATTAAAATAGGACCTTTTAATACTAAGTATTAATAATCTTAGTTTTTAAGTTTTAATAATGATTTGAAGCTGCTTTTATAACTGTCAATTGTCATATCATTTGACCGCTTCCTACTTCTGCGATATTTTCCTAACAAACCAAAGAAATTTACGCTCGACTGATAATTATCAATTTGTGGTGCTGACACTTTTTTACTATATATTTTTTAGACCGTTATATCCTATTTTTAAGATGGAACAATACGGTATTTATGCTTGCCAAAATCTTCATAACTATAAAGATGTTTTTCATATAAAAATTTGGTATATTTGTTACCAAAATACATTTATTGCATAAATTAGAGCTCTGACTTTATAGCTAATACTGTTCTCAATCTATTTTCTTGTAGCATCTTAATGCAATTTAGCCATAAATTTTTGATATTGTTTACCAGCTCCTACGCATGCATTGTAGAGAAATTGCATTTAACTCATATTCATGCCATCCCGAAATTATTTTTATGACTCTACGCATTCGTGGTATGGTTATTAACAGTTTATTAGTTAATTTCTTAATAAAAATATTGTTATCAATTGGTTATTTTAGTTGACAAATTAGCAGTGTTTCATTAGCTACAGAATATCATCATTTATTCTGTATTTGACCTTAAAGTTTCAATAATTGATAAAAATCAGCTACTACGATAAATTAATGGAACATATTGTCCATTTTTTACATATTAGGTGGTACAATTATTTTGTAATGACAACGCTTGATTTTAACTGTATTTTGTTGAGTTTTGATAATCTTTGATGACCAAATGGCGACCAAAAATCTTCGTCCAAGGGTTTATTGTTTTAAATTTTCGTTCTTTTTGCGACTAAAATCACTTGAGATGAATTTGTTCAAAAATAACATGTTTTGCACACAATAAATAAATCAAACAAAGCAACCAATTAAATAATTCCTTTAATAGTATTCACCAATGCTACAAAGTTGACTAAGGCATGGAAAGAGCAAGTCCTAATAGTTCTAGCTAGCGAATATCGGACAAAAGACTACTCAGAATGGGTGGAAACGCCTACAAATCCATCTACATTGGAGGAATACCTACAGAATAGACGAAGAGTTGGTGGTACAAATATTAATTACATTATTATTTTGATCACCTTCAATTGTATATAGAATCGACTGAAAAGTTATTTAAAATGTTATGTGATTTTCACGTAATAGCCCCGTAAACAAATATTTACTGTCCAATCTTTAACATTGACACCCATAGCAATCGCAAATGAAATCAAATCGACGAGAATATGGAAAGATGCAGTCACACCAATTCCAGTACATGAACAACTGATAAAAAAGGGTATAAGTGGTTGGAATGACTAGCAAATCCATGCCAGTACAAGAATTGCATATTTTTATGAGATATTTACACCACGTTGCACGGTAGATATGGAAAAAATTATAAAAGAAAGAAAAATATAAAATCACAGACCGAAAGGAAGATAACAAGACAAGACCAATACATCAATTTGGTCGGATATGACGCACGATTTAACTAAATGGAAAGTTGCCATCAGTATTATGAGGAAGAAGTGTTATTTTACCTTAACAGCATTAAAGATCAAAATGAATTAATGAACTATTTTTATATGATTATTATTATTAGTAATATTTGGATATAACATAACATTTATTGTTAACAAAGCACCAGTGTATCTTTGATAACCCAGTTACTATTTACTATTTTTATTGGTTAATATGATATGACAATTGACAGCTAATGTTTGACAAGTGACAGTCGATAGATGATAGACGTGACTTGAAGGGCAGCTATTACCATGTTCTGGTATTTTTTCTGTTATTTTAGACAATGCAATGGTGAGAGACACTTATTATTTGACTGAGTTTTTATACATTGAACTACCTACATTAAATATATATCATAACATAGTCGTAGTCGTAATGTTAAGGAGCAATTGATAACCATTCACCAACTAAAAAATACCCTATAGCCGTTGACCATTAAAAAAATTCCCTGTACCCTAAGCTTGATGAGCATTCACCTACCTATCTATGTGTCATCACTTTAGTTAAGTCTAACCTGTGATTATACAGCTACTAAAATGATATAACTGCATTTTTATCATGACAGACATAAGTAATTGCTTATTGTTAGGCATTCATCTTGATCATTTGTATTGAAGAAGCTGATGTACTAATAAATTTATGTTACCACCATTTTTTAAAACTTTATTTTATAAATTTATGAAATAAATTATAAAATAAATTTATAAATTTATGGGTACCTACCTATATAAGTTTTCCCAATTGAAATTTTTATTTTAAAAGAAATGCATTTGAAAACGTAGTGTACAAATACAAACGTTTTTATTATAACAATAGTACCTAATTACAATGTGAACTACTTGTTGACTTGTTGACACACTTGTCATGCAGAGGTAGTGCCAAACCTTAGCACTAAAAAGATCCAATATTGAATGCTAATGCCAACCAAAAGCTTAAGATGAAATTAATTAAAATTACATTTTCAACTGTATTTTATTTTTAAGATGGATGCTTAATATGATTACTTCAGTGATTTGTCTGTTTGGTAGCAAATAACATAATGTAACCTAAGTCATAGTAATTTACTACTACCAGTGAACTATGAGTGAATTTCAGAGATGCCCCTCGTTGTGCTTCTTGTGCATTGTGATATATTTATCTCATAATTACGAAATTATTTACTATATTGTGTGTAATAGATGCTATATTTCTCATAGTGATTATATCAAAACTTTAAAATTGTGGTTGAAATTAAAATTATTTTTCCTTAAACGCGTGTTTTATTCTTTTGGCATGTTAGGGAATCTGTATTAATTTATTTTAGTAAATTTAGTATTGAATTTCTTTGACTTTGCCCGCACAAGTCGTTAAACTATCCAATATCCCAGGGTATGCTTAATAAGCGAACTGCTTAGGTACTACGACGCAGTGTTAGGTCCAACTTCCGTGGTAGATAGAAGAGATCATGGGCCTCATGGACGTAAGACAAAAACATAAAACAAACACAATAGAATAAAAACGAGTCAATAAAATCTTTAGAAAAAAGTGCAGAGAAGCTAAAGAAAACTGGATGTCAACCAAATGCCTAGAAATTGAACAATTTCAGGAAAGATACGACACCTTTAATGCCCATAACAAAGAAGAAATGACAGGTAGACACAGAAAGAGACAAGAAACAATATTATGAAATAATATCGAGAACCAGATAATTATAGGTACAGAAGACAAACTGGAGAAGATGGAAAGAAAATATTCAGACACTTTTTGACGATAATAGACCTTTTTTCCACCATTCACGGATGATTGAGTAAATGAAAAAGGTCCAAAAAATAACAAAAGAAGAAGATATTTATGCAGTAAAAGCTCAAAAGAACGGAAAAACCACCGATCCAGACAATATCAATGTCGAAATACTTAAATGAATTGCAGACAACGAAAGTAAAAGTTAATGACAGCCCTATTCAATAAGATATATGACACAAGTAAATTACCATAAGACTGGCTAAAACCAACATTCGTAACATTACCAAAAAAAATACAACTTTTCTCAGAATCATTCATACACGAATTTACGAGAAGTGTGAGTTTCAGATGAGTGACACTCAATTCGGATTTCGAAATGGATTGGGAACACGACAAGCTCTTTTTGCCTTAAATGTGTTAACACAATGATGCCGTGTCCGGTCTAGCTTTCGTGGAGGAGGAGCTCTGAACAGAGTAGGGGCTCTTCTATACTTCACGGAAGACAGACTGGGCGGGGGATGTCCTCAACCTCGACACGGCACGTCCCATATGGCTGATAGGGAAAGTTCCTGCAGATATGCAGGACAGGTACGAATAAGGCATTGCCAAATAAGTACCCGTGGATCAACTGAGGATATGACAGGCAGCAGTAATGTCATTACTGGATTAAGGCTGTGGGAAGTAAAAATCCTGTAGGTTTATTCCAGATACTCACAGGCGTCACTCACATTATGAGTTAAGCGGCTGTGATACTGCGATGGGGAAGGCAACGGGAAACCACCCCATTATGATCCCTAGTAAAGTTATCATGGAATCAATGAGTGTAACGAATACTACTGATCATGGGCTGCGGAACTCAAGCTCCGGCAGGGGAAGGAATACACAATCAAACCACAGGGCTTCCCAGGTCGCTAGCCAGCGAAATCCCTGTGAGGAAAACATCACTAGACATACGATGAAAATGAAGAATCCATACAAAGTGGCTACATGGAATGTAACAACCTTATATGAAGCCGGTAAGTTGAGAAATCTACTCTCTGAAATGGACAGATTAAACATTACTATCATGGGGGCGAGTGAAACAAGATGGCCAAACAAAGGGAATTTCAGTGCAAATGGTTACGCCGTTTATTTTTCTGGAAATGAAGACCATATGCATCGAAATGGAGTAGCAATAATTATCAAACAGCATGTTAATAAGTATGTCACTAACTTCATCCCAATATCAGACAGAGTAATTTTAATACAGCTGAATGCTAAACCTGTAAATATAAATATCATCCAAGTTTATGCTCCCACTGCTGACGCAGATGAGCAGAATATTGAAGAATTCTACCATCAAATAGAAGAAGTGCTAAAAATAACAAAGAAACACGAAGCAATAATAATTATGGGTGACTTTAACGCTAAAGTTGGACAGATGATGACGCAGGGCATCACTGGAAAGTTTGGCTTGGGAGAGAGAAATCAAAGAGGTGAACGGCTAATAGAATTCTGCCAAGAAAATGACTTCGCCATTACAAATACCTGGTTTCAACTTCCAGAAAGGCGTCTTTACACGTGACAACCAGTTGGACAGAGGTCCCAATATACTGAATTCGGAAGTCGAAAAGGCAATACAGCAAGCCAAAAACAATAAAGCACCTGGACCAGATCAAATCCCTGCCGAACTACTTAAACTTTTGGATGAGGAAAGCATTGCCTGCTTAACCATTTTTTTCAACAAAATTTACAACGAAGGAAAAATACCAGATGATTGGTTAGAGTCACTGTTTATAACATTACCAAAGAAAAGCAGGCCCACCAAATGCAGCGATTTTAGACTAATCAGTTTGATGAGTCACACACTGAAGATACTCTTATGAATTATACAAAACCGAGTATTCCTTCTATGCGAAAGTAAGATGGGTGATAAGCAATTTGGATTTAGAAACGGTCTAGGAACTAGAGAGGCACTATTCTGTTGCGCGTTCTATTACAAAAAGTTGTGAATTCCGAAAGAATGTTTATGTTTGTTTCATCGACTTCGAGAAGGCGTTCGACAGAGTCCAACACAATACACTTTTCGACTGCCTACGGGCAGCAGGACTTGACCACTATGATATAAGACTGCTGAAATACTTATATTACAATCAAGTAGCCTCTATCCAAATTGGAGACAGTCCCACTGAAAAAATACCCATCAAACGTGGAGTACGGCAGGGTTGTGTTTTGTCACCCACTCTTTTTAATCTGTACTCTGAAGAAATCTTTAGGGAGGTTTTGGATGACAGACAAGAGGGAGTAAAACTAGGTGGAGAAGTAATCAACAATATTAGATACGCTGACGATACAGCCATTCTTGCAGAAAGTTTACAAGATCTCCAAACATTACTAAATCTGGTCAGTGAAGCAAGTTATCGGAGAGGCCTAAAAATCAACATTTCAAAGACAAAGTGGATGGCAGTTGGAAAGATCCATATAGATCAAGGTCTGCTTTCTCTTAATGGAGAAGAGATAGAAAGGGTAAATCATTTCAAATACCTTGGCAGCTGGTTTAATGTAAATTGTGACTCTGATGAAGAGATAATATCCAGGATCGAAATATCACGTAAGGCTTTTATGACCTGGAAACCAGTTTTATGCAACAGAAACCTGTCAATGAATATTCGTAAGAAGGTCCTGAAATGTTATGTGTGGTCGATCCTATTGTATGGTTGTGAGACATGGACGTTAAAAACCACAATGCTAAACAAGTTAGAAGCATTCGAATTGTGGTGCTATAGACGAATCCTAAAGATATCGTGGGATTCGCACACTTCCAATGAAGATGTTCTTCAAATGATCAATTCAGAACGTTTGCTCATAAACACCATAAAGAGGAGAAAAACAGAATACTTCGGCCATATAATTAGAGGACCTAAATACCGTTTACTTCGCCTTATAATACAAGGAAAAGTGGAAGGAAAGAGATGGATTGCTCGAAAGAAACTTTCATGGCTGCGTAATATTAGACAATGGTGTGGTTCCACAGTAGAAGAATTATTTCGCGCAGCAGCCGACAGAGAAAGGTTTCAGGAAATTGTAAACATGATGACGGCCAACGTCTGAATACGGACACGGCACCCAAAGAAGAAGATATACATGTTTTATTGATTGTCGAAA